TCTGTCTTGTCTGTCTTGTCTGTCTTGTCTGTCTTGTCTCATTCCATCGGTGCTGGACTTTATTGCAGCATCTCCCCAAGGACTTGCTCCCTTCTAAATCCGTAGCCTTTTGTTTGGCTTCATGTGAAGATGGGCCAACCATTTTTCGAATTATACACTGTTATTCTTGGGGTTCTTTCCCGCCCATCCCCCCAACTTCATGTGAAGATGATAACAATGAAACGTGCGTGATTGATTGGAGATAAACTTCAGTCCATAGCGGGGAAACATGTTCGATTGATTGGATAGTCCTCCCTGCTTTTGTGTCCCATACCAGTGGGCACTGGCCTTGTGTGATTGTTTGTGTTAACTGCTGAGACTATACGCTCGTTCTATTCGTAAGGTTGGCTGCCATATTGGGCAAGTGATGGATCATCGAAACACCGCCATGGCTCTTTTTGTTTCCCCTGCAAGGGCGACGACCTTGAGTCGTTTAATCGTCTGAATTGATTGGCAATCGAACTGAGGTCTGTATTTCAACAGTTCATGTGTTTACCAACTGCGCTAAGCCCGTTGGTGCACTGCCATTGCTCCATTCACTATCACAGGTCCTTTAACTATCGCACTTTCCCCGCCGATCGTCTTCAAGAGCTCTCTATTTTTTCCGATCTCCCCTTGCATGTGCCTAAAATCTCCTCGGTATCATTCGGGCAATGACGAGCCCTTCCCTTTCGAGTTAAACGTGGGATGGTCGTTTTTTCACCTCGCCGTCTCCGGCTGTCAGCATGAAGCGAGAGGGATGCAATGCAAGACCGTCGACTCCGTCGATTCCAGTACTTCGCCCAGATTGAAAGACAAATATGTGGCTCGTATACAGCCACAGCTTTTGGGGGGCGGGGGGTACCTGAGCAAAATAATGGCTGGAACCGCCAAGCCGAAATGAGCACTGTGCCGGTTCGTTTTTCTTTGTCACGCAGGGCATTTTCAGGCTCTGCTTCAATAGCTACTACGCAAGGTACTGGTGGTTTTAACACGACTTTCGCTTGCAAATTTGGGAGTTGCTTTATCGTCACTGAGTCGTAGGGAATGCCAGTGTTCAACAGACTGAGCAGATGACACAGCCTTCCAGGCATACCACAGGAGACAACATGAAATCTGAAAATGAAAGCGTGGGAGACTGGGTCTCGCTCCACTACTGTCTGCTATGCAGAATTTCGTATAGTGGCTGTATAGCTGTCAGAGCTAAAACAATCGTATAAACCGTCGCGTCACCCTTCCAGGCATACCACAGGAGGCAACATGGAATCTGAAAGTGAAAGCTTGGGAGACTGGGTCTCGCTCCACTACTGTCTGCTATGCAGAATTTCGTATAGCGGCCGTATAGCTGTCAGAGCTAAAACAATCGTATAAACCGTCGCGTCGCTCCATTTCCTTAGTATCTGCTATACTAGTCTCCAATTCCTGAGCTCACCACAAAATACCCATACAGCACTCCACGACTGCAATTTCTCGGCCCAGACTCCCGGTGCTCCACTGGGTCTCGCTCCACTACTGTCTGCTATACAGAATTTCGTATAGCAGCTGTATAGCTGTCAGAGCTAAAACAATCGTATAAACCGTCGCGTCGCTCCATTTCCTTGCTATCTGCTATGCTAGTCTCCAATTCCTGAGCTCACAACAAAATACCCGTACAGCACTACGCAACAGCAATTTGTCGGTCCAGACTCCCGGTGCTCCATACAATTTCACGGTAGAACGCCCACCACCTTCGACCACCCTCCGAGTAACGACACGACTTTTGCAGGCTGGGAAGTATACGGGAGCGTATGGCGAATTTGGAGGGCGCCATCTGACAACTGTGCGGTGATTTCCAAAGGAAATCAACATTTCGGATAGTAAGTGGAGCGGTGTCCCACTATCTGAAATCGTACAGCAGATAGTAGTGGAGCGAGACCGACTGTCATGCAACTGCTGATAAATGATTGCCAGGCCGACTGGCATAAACTGCTCAAGAGTATCAAGGACGATCACGACATTAAAGAAGACATCATAAACACATTCTGCAAGGACAGCCTGGGATCTGGCAAACCGGGGAGCAAAGAGAATTAGAGAAGAACGAAGTATCAAAAGAAAGAAAAGGAAAGGAAAAAGAAGAATCAAGGATGATCGCGACATTAATGAAGACATCATAAACACATTGCACAAGGACAGCCTGGGATCTGGCAAACTGGGGAGATAAAGCAGAGAATTAGAGAGCAGTAACTAACCGACAGCTTCATAGCTGAGAGGAGCAGATCTGGGATCAGACAGATTGGCAGGCAGAGTTAGTACAGGCTACATTAGGCAGGGGTGAGAGGTGGTCCATCCTTCCTAAGGTAAGTAATCAATGCTGCCCACTCGGGCCTCTCAACCATAATGGGGAGGAGCGTGCGTGAGTCTTTTATGTATTCCATATTGACTTCCCGGGGGAATAGGAACCGGACTGTCCCTCCCCAGAATGGGAGGAGCCAGAACCGTGAAAAAAAAAAAAAAAAAAAAAAAGAGAAGTATCAAAAGAAAAAAAAAAACGAAAAAGAAGAAATGTGATTTTCGGCAAAAAATAAATGGTGTTTGACGAAATAAGCAAGTGCCCCAAGAAGACGATGAAGAAACGAAATCGGTCAGATGAAAAAAGAAAAAAAATATATATATTTTGATTCGATGAAATGTGGCTAGGCAGAGGGAGCCAGGAACACTTTTTAGTGAAATGTCGGTAGGGTGGGGAAGGGAGAAACTAGGATATCCAAAAAATATATATATATTTTTTTAAATGTAATATTTGGGGAAGTATGACGAACGATAAATGAATATGATGAATTAAAAAATAAAACAATTATCTAAAGAAGGAAAGGAAGAAAGAAAAGTGATTTTTGGCAAAGACGGATGACATTTGGCAGAGTAGCGAAGTGTCAAAAAGAAAAGTGCAATATTTGAGGATCAACGGGGAGGTTAAATGAAAAGAAAAAAAAAAAAAAAAAAAAAAAAAAACCCGAAAGGGCGTAATTGCAAAGTATAAGAAAAAAAAACCTGATGCAATTTGTCCAATAGTTACATAGGGTGCTTCCACAGGTTGACATCCAATCCAGCCTAAAAGTAAACAGAACGGTACGAGTACTGACCACACTTAGGGACTGATGGAGAGGCCACTGGGCCGTCAATTTGAGGTTTGGCGGTTAATATTCGACAAAACATGGGTTGAGTACGGAAGGGAGGAACTAGGATATCTAAGTAAAAAAGAGGAAACAATAAGTGTAATACCCAACAAAGCATAGCGGACGGTGAACAAAGAGAATAAAAAAAAAGATTAAGTATCTGTTAAAATTGGAACGAGACAAAGAAGATTAGCATGGCCCCTGTGCAAGGATGACATGCATAAATCGAGAAATGGTCCAATTTTTTGAAAAAAAAAAAAAAAAAAAGATCATCAGCAAAAGACAAACGATGTCTGATGAAATATGTGAGTGCCTTGCAGGTTATATATAAAAAAAGGCGAAAAAGCTAATATATGGCGAACCTTGTAGATGGTGAGTGAAAAAGATAAAGAAAAAACGAAGTACCCAAAGATGAATAATAATATAATAACAGTAATAATATTTTTTTGGTTAAAAAT